GGGCCCAGATCACTGAATCTAGCATGTCTAAATTTGAAATTCTGAGTAATAGAGAGCACACCAAGAAAGAATAATAAAAAAAAACTTTCCCCTCTCCTCACAACGTCTCCCTTATTCCTCCCTCCTCCCTTTCTTTCTTTTTCTTTTTTTTTTTTTTTTTTTTGTACCTGGATCGAACTCCAGGCAGGGGTGGAACCACTGAGCTAAATCCCTGGCCCATCCCTCCTCCCTTTTTATTTTGAGACAGGGTCTCACCAAGTTGCTAAGTTGCCCAGGCTGGGCTTAAACTTGTGATCTTCTTGCTTCAGCCTCCCAGAGTGCTGAAGGATGTCTATTTTCAAAGGAGCTAGCTCATTGCCGCAGGCACTCAGTGTGAGAATCCAGCAGTTTACCTGTCATTAGCTGCGGCAGAGTACTCTATGTAAATAAGCCTTCAAGCCCCTCCTCATGCTGTTTCCCTCCACATCGCTGCCCTGGCGCTTCACCTGTAAGTTCTAACTACTGATCCATTCAGGGTTGACACTAGTGGCATTTTGGCTGGGTGATACATCCTTTGACTTCTGATAGGCCCAAGTAGAGGTACAGAAAAAGCATTCCATCAGAGGAAACACACCTAATTGTCTCAACCTCTCAAAAGACAGCAGAAAAAGATCTCTGAAACAATAAGGAGCTTTTGGAAGGCAGCAGTTTGGGGGAGAAGCAATAAAGAAATGCCTGGATTGTTCATATAGATCTTCTGCAACTGGAGGCTGGAGTGATGAATTGAACCTCAGCATGAAACAAAATGCACATTAGGGGGAGTACATCCTCAGGACATCAAGTTCATTCTTCACGGCAGTTACTATCCTGACAATCCCCAGGACCAGTCAGCTGAGCAGGAACACCAGCCCCCTCTGCAAGTCAGCCCCAACATTGCCTGCTGTAACGCTGCAGATATGAACAAGGTGGCAGCCCAGGGGGCCTCCCAGAAGAGAATCTTTACCCTGCCACATGTATGCTGTGCAGTGTGGCTTAAACAGTGCCCAAAGGACAAGTCTGCAAAGTGTCAGTCTCTTTGTAGAATCTCTAAAACCAGAGAAAAACTCAAAATTGTCAAGGACCCTCATGAGAACAGAGCTGGAAAAGACTAAATATGAACAAGGCAATTATTCCAAAAAAGCACTGGCTTTGTAAAAATACAAACAGAACTGCTTTTGGGGGATTCTAACCTCACCATAAAAAATGAACATTGTCCCACACATCTCCCTGGAAAATGCAGGGAAATTTGTCTCGCTGGAGTGGCCTTGGGCCAC